ACCGGGCCAGGGACACCCCCCCCCGGGGGGCGCACGCCCGGCTCGGCACCCTCCCGCCGTGCTCGCCGCACTGAGGCGCACGCCGCTGCTCACACCCGGGTGTTTTACTAGGCAGGGAACCCCGCCTGGCTTCGTGCAGCTGTGCTGTTGTTTTACCTTAGGTTCGGTGGCTAGGAGCACGGAACCAACAAACACCCTGGACCGGGCCAGGGACACCCCCCCCCGGGGGGCGCACGCCCGGCTCGGCACCCTCCCGCCGTGCTCGCCGCACTGAGGCGCACGCCGCTGCTCACACCCGGGTGTTTTACTAGGCAGGGAACCCCGCCTGGCTTCGTGCAGCTGTGCTGTTGTTTTACCTTAGGTTCGGTGGCTAGGAGCACGGAACCAACAAACACCCTGGCCTCAGCGGGCTTTCCCGACACCTGGAATTGCCCAAAACACGGCTCAGCCTAGGGACAAATTGCCCCTCTTCTTTTTGTTCTCGAGGTGCCAACTGGTTAGAAGGAAAAATAAAATATTATTGTACTTGCCTTGTTTTTTTTTTTAAAGTAGTTGCCCTTGAAAAGTGGAATTTTAGTTGCCTCTTACTGCACACTCACTCAACAGTATGCAGCACAGTGGCATGCTAGTCAACAATAAGCACTGGAAAAGACTAGACGGCTTTCTATTTTCACATTGTATACACTAGGGCTACATCTCCACCGGTGCGTTCTCATGCAAAAACTCTTTTGCGGAAGAGTTCATCTGCAAAAACTTCCAGAAGAGGGTGTCTACACTGGCATGTGCTTTTGCACAAAAGCATCAATGTCAGTGTAGATGCTCTCTTGAGCAAGAAAGCTCTAATGTCCATTTTAACCATTGGGCTTTCTTGCTTGCGCAAGAAATTCATGTTGCCTATCTACACTGGCCTCTTGCGCAAGAACAGTTGTGCAAAAGGGCTTATTCCTGAGCGGGAGCATCAGAGTTCTGGTGCAAGAAGCCCTGATTTCATACATTAGAACATCAGTTTACTTGTGCAAGAACACACGGCCACTGTAGACAGGCAGCAAGTTTTTGCGCAAGAGCGGCTTCTTTTGCGCAAGATTGCACCAGTGTACACACAGCCTAGGGATGTTAAAATGCTTGTATTTAAGTAACTAACCACTGAAAATGTCAACAGTTACATGTGGGGTGGCAGTCAGTTTCCACCAGCAGCCCCGCATCGCTGAAGCAGCGTAGGGCGCCAGGTGGCTGCCCCAGGAGCCTGTATATAATCTCCATATTGGTGCACATAACAGAAGTCATTCCATACATGGACATAAAAAAAATTAGAGGGAACACACAGTTTTGGAAAGTGGTCGAGCGCCATTCTTCCATAATATTAACAGAGGTGGGGGCTCTGGAATGGAGGCTCAGTGCAGAAGGGAGCTTGGGATAAGGGACTGGGGTGCAGGAGGGAGATGGGATGAAGCAGGCAGTTGTGACCTGGGTTAGGGTACTGAAGTGCAGGGGTTTGGGATGTGACCTAGGGTAGGAGGGGATTGTGATCTGGGACAGGAGATTAGGGTGCCAGATCTGGGTGGGGGTGTGGGTGTAAGAAGAGGACAGAGGGTTTGGGTATGTTGAGTGGGGGTGCAGGGAGTTGGGGCAGGAAAGGGCTGGGGTGCCAGAAGCAGGCTGTGCCCAAGAGACTTACTTGCCAGCTGCCAAATTAGCCTGCCTGCCTGCAAAGCTTAAAATGTTTGCCAGCCTGCTTGCCTGGCCATGTGCTTCATGAATAACTCAGCTCAGGAGAGAGGGCATGGTTCTTTTTAGCTGCCTGTTATTCTGACAAGAAGCTCCCATTGGTTGGTTTCTGCCAGAAACTGACCAATGGGAACATGCTGGGGGCGGAGTGGCTCCTAAAATTGTCCTCTTCCCCTCCAGCTTCGAAACAGAAATGGAGTCTTGCAGCCACATTTTTGCCCAGCGTCTGGGGCTGGGGAGCCTGCCTGGGGCTCCCTGCTGCCTCCACAGGCTGGATCCGGTGGCTTGGTGGGCCGTATCCATTCTGTGGGCTGTATTTTGCCTAGGCCTGGGCTAGATGCATAAAAGGACTTTGCCTCAGACTAATATTAGGTGTCTTTGAGAGCCACAGAACTGTTGCCCAGAGGCCACCTAACTCTCTGTGGGTGCCGAAGTTCCCTAGGCAGCTAGGACCAGGTCTACACTAGATCCGCAAGGTCAGCTTAAGATATGTAGTTCCAGCTATGTAAATAACGTAGCTAGAGTCAGCATACCTTAAGCCTACCTTGATGCCATCTTCACAGTGGGAAGTCAGTGGGAGCATTTCCTTGCTCCTTGTAACTGCAAGGCGTGGCAGTGCCCTGAGTGCTTGATTTAGCAGGTCTTAATGAGACCTTGGATGCATAAACAGGAAACCAGAATAGGAATGGGAAGGTTGTTTTACCTCTGTATTTGGCACTGGTGCAATTGCTGATGTCCATATAATTCAAGAAGAATGTTGATAAATTGGAAAGAGTTAAGAAAAGAGCCATAAGTATTATCAAAAGATTAGAAAAAAGTGCCTTCTAGTAGTAGGAGCTATTTAACAAAGAGAAGATTAAGGGATTGCTTTGATAATAGTCTGTAAGCAGGGGTGCTGGAAGTAGGAGTTTTGGGGGGTGTAACAGCACTCCCTGGCTTGAAGTATTTTGCATGATAAACAATGTTTAAAGTTTTGTTCAGTGGCTTTCAGCTCCCCCTCTATAAAAGCTGTTTCCAGTGCTACCCTTTGTAAGAATCTATTTAGGGAACAAATATATAATACATTTATTCAATCTAGCAGAAAAAGGTACAATACAATACAAAGGCTGGAATTGAAGATAGGCACTTTAAGATTGGAAATAAGGTGATAGGAAAGGTAATTAATCATAAGAACAATGCACCAAGGGTTGTGGTGGGTTCATTACTGGTAGTTTTTAAATCAAGATTTGATATTTTCCTAAAAGAGTTGTTCTAGGAATTATTTTGGGGACCTTCTGTGGCCAGTTTTATACTGGAGGTCAGACTAGGTCAGTGGTTTTAAATTTTGGGGCATGCCTCATTAGGGCCGTGGTTCTCAAACTGCAGTGGTTCTCAGCCACTTTCCAGGTGGTTCACGACTCGAGCTCAGTTCCCCCCCTTCCTCTCCCTGCAGCAGGGAGCCCGCATGCTCCACCCTTGCTCCCCCCCCATGAGGTTGGAACAACAGCATAGTGGGAGAAACCCCAACCCTCCCTACCGGATCTGGTTCATGGGGAAGAAGCAGAGCCAGAAGTGACTCTGCGTGCTGCTGCTTCTCCTCCTCCGGCTGGGAAAACAGCAGCGCATGGACGTGCTGCCTGGAGGCTTTCCCCGCTGCCCCTGTTGGTTGGAGTTGTGACCAATGATAACAGAGGGAGGCCTGTGAGCAGCGTGGGGCATGAAAGTAAGTAAATGTCTTCCCACCCCCTCATACCCAGACCCTGCACCCCCAGCCTGCTCCTGTACCCGCCCGTGCTCCTGCACCCTCCCACCTAGTCAGACACCCTACCTCCACCCTGCTTCTGAACCCAGCCTTGCTTCGGGATCTTCTCTCCTAGCCGCACATTAACCTTCCCTTGTTCTTGTCTTCTCCCCTCTCACCAGACACCCTACTCCCAGCCTGCTCTTGTGCCCTCCCTATCATCCCCTCCTGCATTTCACCTTCCATCCAGACCTCACATCCTCACCCCCTCCTGCACCCTACCTCCCACCCAGATCCTGCACCCTCATTCCTATCCCACTTAGTGGCAGCCCTGTCCCGCACACTGAACCCCTGATTTTTGTCCCCACCCAAGAGCCTATGGGGTCCACAAAATTGACTAACTCCAGAACCCCAGAAGAGTAAATCCAGCCCAGGGGAAGCCCTGAACCTCAGTTCTCCCTGTCCCTCCTCCTTCCCCCTTGGGGCTATAGTGCCAGAGGAATGAGGTGTCTAAGGATGTGTCTAGACTACTGAGGTTTTTTTAAAAAGTGGCCTTTTTTCAAAAAAACTTCACCTACATCTAGACTGCCACTGCGTTCTTTCGAAATCAAATAAAAAAATGTGGCGTTTTTTTTGGAAATTGGTAAACCTACTTTTACCAGGAAGAATGCGTTTTTTCGAAAGAGCACTTTCAAAAAAGGCTTTCTTGAACACAAACAGAGCTTTTACGAAAGAGAGTGTCCAGATTGCCTGGGTGCTCTCTTTCGAAAAAGCACATTGCTTTTTCGAAACCCTTGTGGCTGTCTAGATGATCTCTTTTGAAAGAAGCTTGTATTCTAGACGTACCCTAAGTTGGGGGCCACATCAGTGGGAGGTTGGGGTTTTTGGAGGAGTTTTGTTGCTTCTCATTTGTGTGGTCTCTAATAGATTTTTTCTGTGGGTCACTGGCCTCTGATCCGAAAAAGGTTCCCCATCCCTGCCATAAATAAATAAAACATTGAAACCTTTTGTGTTGGATATAAATAAATATTTTACTTTATTTTAAATGAAGTTTGATAAACTAACATGACAAAGTTAAAGCCCTTAATCTGTTTAAATTATTTAATATGTCCTTTCTTACTGATTAAATTAAACTGTTCTCCCTAGCTGCAGCACTAGCAAAATGGCTTGGGCATAATTATGTAAATAACGGCATAATTACATAATGTAATTATGTAATTAACATTAGCTGGTGGTCAACAGAAAAGTTTGCATTGAGCCAGGTGGGCCACTGGCCAGAAAGTTTGAGAACTACTGCATTAGGGTAAACCACTGGCAAGCTTCAAAGCTGTTTGTTTACCTGAGCATCCACAGGCATGGCAGTTCACAGCTCTCAGTGGCCAGGTTTTGCTGAGCCCATCCTATGGGAGCACTCCCCACAGCTCCCATTGGCCAGGAGTGGTAAACCCCAGCCACTGGGAGCTGCGAGTGGCCATGCCTGTGGTCAGGTAAACAAAATGTGCCTCAGCCTGTCATACGTAGCCTGGTGAGATTCAACCTAAAGTTTGAACACCTCTGGACTAGGTGATCATAATGATTCCTTCTGGAATATATGAATTGTATGGGGATTTTAGCGTGCTAACTTGAGGCTGTGAATTTCATTATGCCTTTTGCACAGAATTCTGGAGCTGTGGTGTGTTTTTATGGTTCTTTCCTAAACATCTCTACAATTTTTAGATCAATACTGTTCGCTATAAAATCAGTCAAAATCTAATTTCACTTGTGTTTTACTTTATCAAAATATGTTCCGTTGTTTTTATCTACTTGAAAATGTGGGACTAGACTCTTTAAGTTCCCGAATAATTTTAAATATGGCTGAAAATTCTATTTAATTTGAGAAAGAGATGAAGACAGCATATATCTATTCTTACTTTCCCCAATGTTCTTTCTTTCAGTTTCGGGGTACCCATACTAAGGACTAGTCTTCTATCAAAAGTTTAGAGATCGATTATTAAGAAAATTTCCTGCATTGTTCATGGTATAGCTTAACCTTTTATATTTTTATTTAGTTTGGGTTACAATGGTAAATGGTTATTTTGTGTATGTTTCTAGAGCTTATGTGTTTTAAATGTGTAAATATTGACTTTTTTGTTATAAGAAATACTAATGTTACAGCAGATTCAGGAATTTAATTCACAAAGTTGCTAAATATGTCAAATTGAAATATGTCAGTTAGGATTACAAAAGCAGATTTTATGTAAATGTGTGAGTAAACTTATGTTTCCTTAAAAATAAAATTGGTCATTGAAAAAAATTGTATTTTTCTTCAGCGTATGTAGAAAATGGAAAACCTTTGCATATGTAATAATTTTAAATTGGGTTTACCATATGTCTTTATTTGCTGCTGGAGGACATATTCTGATCCAATTAAGCTAAAGTTTTCATTTGATTATTCTTATTTTTGATTTTGTAGATGACAGAATCATATTTTATGTGTTAGTGTTTTAGAGTAACACATAAAAAGACAAGACTTTTCTCTTTCTTTACAGGAGTTTTTCATCAGTATGTCTGAAAGCATTAAATATAATGATGATGATCACAAAACTGTGTTTCTGAAAACATTAAATGAGCAACGTTTGGAAGGAGAATTTTGTGACATAGCTATTGTGGTAGAAGACGTAAAATTCAGAGCACACCGGTGTGTGCTTGCTGCATGCAGCACCTATTTCAAAAAGCTTTTCAAGAAACTGGAGGTTGATAGCTCATCAGTAATAGAGATAGATTTCCTTCGTTCTGATATATTTGAAGAGGTTCTAAATTATATGTATACTGCAAAGATTTCAGTTAAGAAGGAAGATGTAAATTTGATGATGTCATCTGGTCAGATTCTTGGCATTAGGTTTTTGGATAAACTTTGTTCTCAGAAACGTGATGTATCTAGTCCGGAAGAAAATGCCCAATCCAAGAGTAAGTATTGTCTGAAAATAAATCGTTCCATTGGTGAATCTAATGATAACCAAGATGATGAAGTTGAGGAAATTGGAGATCATGATGATAGCCCATCAGATGTGACAGTAGAAGGAACTCCTCCAAGTCAGGAAGATGGGAAATCCCCTACTAATACACTAAGAGTTCAAGAAGCAATTCTAAAAGAGTTGGGGAGTGAAGAAGTTCGAAAAGTAAACTGCTATGGTCAAGAAGTGGAGCCCATGGAAACAACTGAATCAAAAGACTTAGGATCTCAAACCCCTCAGGCTTTAACATTCAATGATGGCATAAGTGAAGTGAAAGATGAACAGACGCCAGGATGGACAACAGCAGCTGCTGACATGAAGTTTGAGTATTTGCTTTATGGTCACAGGGAACAGATTGCATGCCAAGCATGTGGTAAGACATTTACTGATGAAGCAAGATTGAGAAAACATGAAAAGCTCCACACTGCTGATAGACCATTTGTTTGTGAAATGTGCACTAAAGGGTTTACTACACAAGCTCACTTGAAAGAGCACCTGAAAATCCATACAGGTTACAAGCCGTATAGCTGTGAGGTGTGTGGAAAGTCTTTTATTCGCGCTCCAGATCTGAAAAAGCATGAAAGAGTGCATAGTAATGAAAGGCCATTTGCGTGCCATATGTGTGATAAAGCTTTCAAGCACAAGTCCCATCTAAAAGATCATGAAAGAAGACACAGAGGGGAGAAACCTTTTGTTTGCAGCTCTTGCACTAAAGCTTTTGCTAAAGCATCTGATCTAAAAAGACATGAGAACAATATGCACAGTGAAAGGAAACAAATTACTACAGCCAGTGCCATCCAGAGCGAAACAGAACAGTTACAGGCAGCAGCTATGGCAGCTGAAGCAGAGCAGCAACTGGAAACTATGGCTTGTAGTTAAAGACAAAAGCAGAAAACTTATCCAAAAATAACTTAAGTAATTAAATTGAACAAATATTAAATGTTGAAACCTGTTAAGACTGATCATTATCTTTTCAGGATAAAATATTTTTAAAGGGATTGAACACTGCATAGGAGCATATTAGCAGTGCTTGGTTAGGTATTTTAAAATATTTCAAAGATATGTATTCTTAGAATAAAAAATAATTTTGTTATTAGCACTAACATGTTTTAATTTCAGAAAATGATAGAGTCCTTTATAAACAAAACAAGGAAATCTCTGATGTTTTACTACAACCTTTGCATACTTGTCCTTTGTAACCAGTAAAGCCAATTAGGTAAATTATGTCTAACTGAAATTTATAGAAAAAGTTATAAATATGGGAACAAAATACGCCTTTTTAAAAGAATTTGGGGTGTAGTAATGCAAGGACCACATAGTACAGCTAGAACTCATAACATTAATCTTTTGGAAACCTGACATCTTTATTTCCTCCTTTTTTCACTCATTCACTCTACTTATTAGCTGTTAGTGAACGGAAGGGTTGGCAGTTTGAGTAGTTGGTCAAGTAGAGCTATTCTGCTTCTTTGTCCACCTCCTTAAATTCCTCTCTTTAATCTAGATGGTGAATAAAATACTTACTCTTTTAAAGATTAGACTTTTTCACATTTATAATGGCTCTAAAAGCAGGAGTACCGGATGCTGATGGGGGTGCCCTCTGACTTTGATTTAGCAAGTTCTTAACTAGACTCGCTAAAACAACCAAACGAAGATGGATCATACCAGCATCGATCTTCTGTATAGTGAAGACATAGTCTGAGAAATCTCCCGTGGGAAGGAATGATCCTGGCCAGTGTTTCCAACTATCATTTCCCCAGATCAGCGACATGTATTTTTGAAGTAATTCAGACAAGATTTTGTTTTGCTTTGCTTTTATTTTGTTTTTTTGGGAGGGGGAGGAGGGGAGACAGGAAGGGGACAGAGAAGAGTTGTTAATTGTTTCTTACCACTAGCTAAACAAAGCTTAAAATACTACAAACTGAGCTGTTTCCCATATATGGAAATAGAGAGTCACAACTTCATAATATTGTTAAAATGATCCTAAAGAACATGAACATTTCATTATTTTAAGTGTAAATAATATAATTATTATCAATGTTATATTTCAACTATAAATGGGCAAAAATGCACTCTTTTGCACAAAAGTTTGGAATAAATTGGTCACTTAAGATGACCCATGAAATAAAAGTTGTCAGACCAAGTATTTATAAACTATTGTGTGGTAAATCACCTCTTGCATTTTTAAATATAAATTGAAAATAACATTTTTTGTAACTGACCATTCTTCTTTGTTACAACTTCATTGTGTAACTTTAATGTAATCAGAAGTTTAAGCAGTTATATTAAATTACCAACAATAGTTTGAAAATTGTTCTGTAAATAAAACATTAATTGAATATTTTAGAATATGTAAATTTTGGACTTTGTCCTATATATTTTTAAATGTTTCTTCATTTTACATTTAGCACTTTTAGTTTGTAAACAAACTATCCATTTTATATTTGTGCAATGTCAAATAAGTACTCATTTAATTTTATAGCTTTCCACAAAGTAATACACTAAATAGTGTAAAAGTACTTTGAAGTTTGTTGCATGTAAATGTAGATAAAAATAGTAGATTCAAAATTTGATCTGTATCTTCCCTGGTGATTGCAAAGTTTTAATCTTGTTTGGTTTTTTAAAAACATAAGAATATAAGAATGGTTATATTGGGTCATACCAAAGGTCAATTTAGCCCAATTTCCTGTCTTCCAACTGTGGCCAATGCCAGATGACCCAGAGGGAGTAAGAAGAACAGGCAATCATCAAGTAATCCCTCTCCTGTCATCCATTTCCAGCCTCTGACAAACAGAGACTAGGGACACCATTCCTACCCATCCTGGCTAATTGATGGACCTAACTTCCATTAATTTATCTAGTTTTTTTTAACCCTGTTAAAGTCTTGGTCTTCATAATATCCTCTGGCAAGGAGTTCCACAGGTTGACTGGGCACTGCATGGAGAAAAACTTCCTTTATTTGTTTTGAACCTTCTACTTATTAATTTCACTTGGTGACCCCAAGATCTTATGAAAACAAATAAATAACTTTTCCTTATTCACTTTTTCCACACTAGCCATGATTTTATAAACCTCTAGCATATCTTTTCTTAGGCTATGTCTACACTACATGATTATTTCAGAATAAGGTATTTTGAAAGAATATTCTGAAATAGCTTATTTTGAAATAGTGCGTCTATACCGTAGGGAAGCCTGGAAATTAGTCCGAGGCAGACTGCCCTAAAGTGGACACACTACCTTGATTTAGAGCCCCAGGAAGCACTGAGGAGTATTACTTTGAATGGATTGGGGGAAGAGCTATTTTGAAATATCAGTATTGGAGCATTCATACTACTGCTATCCTGAAATAGCTATTTCAGAAGAGGCATTATTCCTCATGTAATGAGGTTTGCAAACACCGAAATAAGCCACCTATTATTTTGAAATTATTTTGAAATAACAGGCTGGCCCTGTTGATGCTCACATAGTTATTTTAGAATAACGGACATTATTCCTAAATAACACTGCTGTGGAGACCCTTAGGGCTCATCTAGACTATGTGGAACGGTCGAAAGAGGGTATGCAAATTCCACAGGAAAGTAGTTTAGCTACGGCTTTTTTGGCGAATTCCCCCACCCCTTTTGTCGAAAAGCCGCATAAACCTCATTTTTTGAGGAAGAGCAGCTTTTCGACAACCGGAGGGGTTTGCTGAAAAAGCCGCGTCTTAATTACTTTCACTTTCGAAAGCTCAGCTTTAGAAAGTGCAATCGGAAGAAGATATGCAAATTCCCATGGAATTTACATATCCTCTTTCGACCATTCTGCTTTGTCTAGATGAGCTCTTAGTTTCCTCTTTTCTAAGCCGAAAAGTCACAGTCTTTTTAATCTCTCTTCATATGGGGCCTGTTCCAAACCCCTAATTATTTTTCTTGCCCTTTTCTGAACCTTTTCCAATGCCAATATATATTTTTTGTGATGAGGCGATCACATCTATACTATGGATTTGTATAGAGGCAATAAGATATTCTCTGTATTATTCTCTATCCCTTTTTTTAGTGATTCCTAACATGTTTGCTTTTTTGACTGCTGCTGCACATTGAGTGGATTTTTCAGAAAACTATCTGCAATGACTCCAAGATCTCTGTCTTGAGTAGTTATAGATAAATTAGTCCGTCACTTGTATGCATAGCTGGGATTATTTTTCCATTGTGCATTACTTTACATTTATCAACATTAAATTTCATTTGCCATTTTGTTGCCCAATCACTTAGTTTTGTGAGATCTTTTTGAAGCTCTTTGCGGTCTGCTTTGGTTTTAACTATCTTGAGCAGTTTGGTATCTGCAAATTTTGCCTTCTCACTGTTTACCCCTTTCTCTAGATCATTTATAAATAGGTTGAATAGGATTGGTCCCAGTGCGGCCCTTTGGGGGACCCACCTCTTTCCATTCTGAAAACTTACCATTTATTCCTGCACTTTGTTTCCTGTCTTTTAACCAGTTATCAATCCATGAGAGGACCTTCCCTCTTATCCCATAACTTACTTTACTTAAGAGCCTTTGGTGAGGGACCTTTTCAAAGGCTTTCTGGAAATCTAAGTATACAATATCTATTGGATCCCCCTTGTCCACAAGTTTGTTGACCCCGTGGAAGAACTCTAGTAAGGCATGATGTCATTATGCCCACCTGAATATAGGTTCTGGAAAAGTTCATCGTTTGTAAAATGCCATAAAATAATGAACTAATGTCTGCACCATTATGGGATCAGTAACAAATTTGTTTCAAATTTTCAAGAACTTAATACCTATGCTGAGATAAAAATGTTTTAAACTTTATTTTAAAAGCCTTTTAAAAAATAGCTGAAGTATTTTCCCCGGTACATTCTTTGATTCTATATAATTTTGAAATATGTTATGGCATTGCAGTGAAAAAACAACAGTTAAACATACTCCAAGAATTACAGTTTATAAAGGACAGAACTTTTTTGTTCCCAATGATTTGTAGTCACATAAGTTCCTCAATCCTGCTATCCCTCAGTTACAACATTACACCCATTGAAAGCAATGGGACTACTGCCAGGGCTGCACAATTGGGTGCTAGACTTTCTGTTAAATTTTAGTTACCTGCACGCCACAATTTCTACAATTGTAGAGTGTATTCCAGGGAGCAGCAGTTCTGAGGAAAGCTAGCATTAGAGACAACTTTGTCTTTAAGCTTTTGGATCAAGACCTCATGACACAAATTCTCTGCATATTTTTTTATGCAAGTAATTTACCCATGCTTGATTTCCTTTTGGATATTGGGAGCTAAAAGTACAATCTCTTACCAGAACAAAAAACCCATGCATGTTTTTTCAAACTTGGTATCTTTACAAAATTAAAAGCAGTTTACACTAAAAAGGTGAGAAAAGGCAGGTGTTGGTGAGAAAGAAAAGATTTGTTGGTTCAATAAAAATGCATACTAGAACCCTGAGGCATTTATCTTCCCTGAGGACTATTTTCCTGCCAAATTTCAGCTTTCTGTTTCCAATATTTTCTACTGTATACCTGTTCAAATACATTGCAGAATTTTTTTAAATTGGGAATTGTATACTTTCTCCTTTCTTTAAAAACAAGAAAAACAAAAAAAATACCATTTGAACAATTTCTGTTCAATTTGCAAAATATTTCTATCTCAGATAAACGATGAGGGTTGAAAAATTTCTGCCCTCAAAGGGTAGGTCTAACCTATATCCCTCTTTCGAAAGAGGGCTGTAAATTAGACATATTGAAATTGCAAATGAAGCCGGGATTTGAATTTTCTGCACTTCATTTGCATAAAAGCATCACGGCGTTCTTTCTAAAAATGCTATTTTGAAAGTGAAACCGTGGTCTAGACACATTTCTTTTGAAAAAAAAAGCCTTTTTTGAAAGATCTTGTACTTTCTTTTCGAAAGAACCGTGTCTAGATCGCGGTTTGACTTTCAAAATAGCTTTTTTCAAAAGAGCGCTGTGATGCTTTTATGCAAATGAAGCGTGGGAAATTCAAATCCCAGCTTTACTTGCAATTTCGATATGTCTAATTTACATCCCTCTTTTGAAAGAGGGATGCAGTCTAGAATAGCGAAAGTGAAAATTCTAGTAAGAGTCTTAGAATGGAAATGTGTAGGAGATGATAGCTATAGGCTGTAGTTAATACTTCAAATAAATTGAAAGTTTGTATACTTATTCCTTTCCAAAGAGAGCTGGAACTGTCAGATTAATGGAGTGAAATCCTGGTCCCACTGAAATCAATGCGTTTTACCATTGACTTCAATGGGACCTGGTTTTCAGTCAATACAGTCAACAAGTTATACAGAAAAAGGGTATAATGTAAAAAATATATGAAATCACAAAGTGATACTGTAAGTACACAAAAATTGTGTACATGGTACAGAAAAACAACTTGTATGACTAAAATATTTCTTTGGTACCAGAATTTAAAAAATAATAATAATAGTCTCACTGAAGGACCCTGATCCCGTAAAAAAGTAAGCACAATTACTCCACCACAAAATTAAAGTTTGTGTGTTATATATGCAAGATAGCTAAAAGTGAAAGTTTTTGGCCTATGTCCTGAAAACACATAGGAGTAGATCTGTGGTTTCATTCATTCATCCAAATTTGTGAGGTTGTACAACCGCATAAATGTTTGAAGGATCAAAGCTTTTATTTATAATGAGGCAGATCCTCAGCTCCTGTAAAATGACTAAATTTTCAAAGTTATTTCAGTAGAACTATGCAGATTTGCAGCAGCTGAGGGTCTAACCTAAAGGCTTCTAGGTAAAAGAATATCGAATCCTAGAAATGTAAGGCTGGAAGGGATGTTGAGACATCTAACACTATTAAGGAAAAACAGTCATTTAGTTAAAGGTTTGATTAATTTTAAAAAATTTAGATCGAACAGGCTAGAATGAAAAAAAAAAAGAAAAACTAGAAGACGTACCTGGTGATGTGGGAGTCCTTTAGGGCAGGGGGGGCTGGTGGAGTGGAGGGCTTAGGAGTCAGGACAGAGCCTTGGAGATGTGAGGGATTCAGGACATGAGAAGTGCAAGAGGAGCCAGTGGGGACTCTCCCCTGCCCCTTCCTGGGACAGCTGGGGGAGATATGGAGGCTTTCTTGTTCCCCCTTCCTCCCCCCTAAACTGCA